TCATCTTGAGGCCTGGTCCCCAACGGATGTGCTTCTGGCTGCAGTTGCAATAATTTTTCATCTCTGCCCTGAGGGCCCGGTCCCGTCTGTCCGCCTATAATATTTCTCCTTCATTTAGCTGTCTATAATGCTTGGACAAGTGTATCTGAAGGGAAATTTCTAAAGGTGGAATTGGTGGGTTAGATCTATATAACTTTGGAGTAGCCCAAATATTTTATGGGTTTATTCTCTCTTCTGCCAATGTTATGTGAATGCCCATTTTTCTGACTTTTGCAAACAGAGCAGCATTAGTCTTTTAAACCTTTACTCATTTGTGAGATAAAAAATGACATTACATTGTGATGTTGACTTTCTATAGCTATGATTAAAAGGAAATACCTTTTCATGTGGTCATTTCATATTACCTATTTATGTTCTTTGCTCATTATTCTGTCCAGTTAATTCCCTTCTATTAGTGACAGCATCAGATTTGTGTATGTGTGCGTGTGTGCGTGTGTTTGTGTGCGTGCATGCGTGTATGTGTGTGTTTGAGTGTTTGAGACGGGGTCTGGCTATGCAGTTCAGGCTGGCCTTGAACTGACGATAATCTTGCTGCCTCAACCTCCTGATAGCTGGGGTTAAAGGCATGTGACACCACACCCGGCCCACACTTTATAGGAACAGCTTGACAGAAACCAAAGTGTAAAGCTAAGGATATTGCTTTGAAGCTATGGTTGCCCGGTACCTTACATAAGATTGAGGAAGGTTGTCCTGACCAAAGAATGGAGGACACTAGTGGAAATGGCCTCTCTATCCTTTGGTCCCCTGTTTTGATTTTTTTCCCCTCTTTGATTTTATCACTCTTTTATTTGATTTAAAGGAGCTCTATGTTTGGTAAATAAATCAGCCTTTTTGATGTCAACGTTTGTTGCAAGAATTTTTCCTGGTTCTTCTTTCATCTCTGTTTGAGGTAATATTTATCCTAGAATTTTAGTTTTTGTGTGAACTAATTTATGTTTCTGGGATAACCATTATATTTAGAAAATACTTTTTTCTTTTGGTTTTTGAGACAGAGTCTCACTGTGTAGTTTAGACTGGCCTTGAACTCACTATGTAGCCCAGGATATCCTCAAGCTTGAGGCAACCCTCCTGCCTCAGCCTCTTGAGTGTTGGGATTGCAGACATGTGCCACCATGCCCATCTAGAAAATGCTTTTTATAATGCAAAGCGATACAAAAATTTGTCCACTTTTTCTGGACCTTTGATGTTGTCATATGTTTATGTATAAATTTCTGATATACCTAGATCTTATGTTTTTTTTTTAGTACATGTTTGTAGTATATAATGATTATATTCATTGTGGAAGTTGATACATGTATGTAACGTATCTTAATTCTTTTTACTTCTCCTCCCTTTCCTCCTCCCTTCCTCCATCTCTTGGTCCCTTCTCCATTTGTTAAAGATCAATCTCCCTATTTCCTGTGATCTACCTTTTATTTTGCCCTTTAAATTATTTACACTTTGGGTTTCTCATATAAGAGAATTGATTTATATTTAAGCTTGTGTCTGATTTATTTTACTTAACATTATGGTCATGAGATGCCTCTATTTTCCTACAAATGATTCAAATTTATTCTTCTTTTTGGTGGTTTTGTGTAAATATCATATTTTCTTTATCCATATATCTGTTAATGGACATACAGGCTGCTTCTAAGATTTAGCGGTTATGAATTGTGCTGCTATAAACATAGATGTGCTTGTATCCCTGTAAAACAATGTCTTTAACCCTTTTGTGAAGATTCCTAGAAGGGGAATAACTCAGTCAGATGGAATTTCTAGTTTAAAGTTTTTGAGGAATCTTCATACTAATTTCCATTGTGGAAAATTCCCACCAAAAATGCACGTTTCCTCTTTCCACTGGAGCCTCTTCAGCACTTGTTATTATTTGATTTCTTGATGATAACCATTCTTTCTTGAGTAAAAGGGAATCTCAGTGTTGTTTTAATTTACATTTCTCTAATGACCAGAGGTGCTGAATATTTGTTTAAGTGTTTGTTGGCTATTTGTATTTCTGAGAAGTGGCTATTCATTTTGGTTGCTATTTTTTTTTACTGGCCCTGTTATTTTGGGGGTTATAATTTTTGTGAGTTCTTTATATATTCTAGATACTAGTCCTCTGGCTGAGGTGCAGTTGGCAAAAATATTTTTCCAATTTGTAGGTTGTCTTTTCACTTTGTTGGTTATTTCTTTTGCTGCGAAGGAGATTTTTATATGATGTGACCCCATTTGTTGACTCTTAGTATTATTTCTTGTGCAATTGGAGTTCTTTTCAGAAAGTCCTTGCCTATGCCCATGACTAAGAGTTTTACCAATTTTATCTTCCAGCAGATTAAATGCTTCTGTTTTAATATTTAGATCTTTGGCCCATTTTGATTTTATTTTAATACAAGGTGAGAAATATGGGTTTAGATTCAATCTTTTGCATGTGAATAGACAGTTTTCCCAGCACCACTTGCTAAAGAGGTCATTTTCCCTCTAGTGTATATTTGGGCCCTTTTGTGAGAGATCAGATAGCTGAATGTGTCTGAGTTTGTTTCTCTATCCTCTCTTCTGTTCTGTTGATTTGCTTTTCTGTTTTTTGTCTCAACACTATGCTGTTTTTACTACTGTAGCTTTGTAATATAACTCGAAATCCAGGATTGTGATGCCTCCTGAGCTGCTCTTGTTACCTAGGATTGCTTTTGCTATTCTGAGTCTTTTCTGGTTCCATATGAATTATAGGATTATGTTGACTAGTTCTTTGAGGAATGCTGTAGGTATTTTGATTGAGAGTGCATTATATCTTTATACCAGTTTTGGTAATACGGCTATTTTGACAATATTAGTTTGGCCTACCCAGGAACAAGGACTATTTTTCTGTTTTTGTATGTCCTCTTCAATCTCCTTTTTCAGAGTTCTATAGTTTTCTTTAATAGAGGTCTTTCATTTTCTTGGCTAGATAAGGGAACTATTTAATTTTTAAGCTACTATAGATGGTATTGTTTTCCTAATTTCTTTGTCTGTGGGCCCATTATTGTTGGATAGGAACACCATAACTTTTTTTATGTGTGGATTTTGTATCTTGCTGGATTTATTAGTTTTAGGAGTTTTGGTGGGATTTTTTAGACTCCTATGTAAAGGATCATGTTGTCTGTGAATAAGGATAGTTTGACTTCTTTCTTTCCTATCTGTCTCCCTTTATTTCTTTCTCTTGATTGTGCTGGCTAATGTTTTGAGTACTTTATTGAATAGGAGTGATAATAGTGACCATTCTTGTCCTCTTCCTGATTTTCGAGGGAACATTTTCAGTTCTTTCTCTTTACTACGTTGTTGGCAGTAGGTTTGTCACAAATGGCTTTTATAGATTGAGATAATGTATTTTTATACCTACATTCTTCAGGGTTTTTTAAAAATCAGAAATAGATTCTATATTTTGTCAAAGGTTTTTTTTTCTTGGTCTACTGAGATGATCATGTGATTTGAACTTTATTTTGGCAAGATGAAATACAGAAATCCAGCTTTTTATAAAATGGCTGGCTTGTTGCAAGGTGTAGTTACAATTTTTAAATACATTATAATTTTTAAAATCTAGATGTTACTAGAGAAAATAGTCAAATGAACTTCCTTTTATAGCAATTGTTTAGAGTCTGTGCCTATTCCTTTGTATTTTTTTTTTCTGTGCTGGGGATTGAACCCAAGACCTTGCACACACTAGGCAAGCACTCTACCGTTGAACTATATCTGTAGCTTTGCTTTCCAAAATTTCAAAGAAGGTACTCTTTTCCCAATATTTATTCTAGTTTAGAATACTTAATACAAACTGAGGTTGAAATAAAGTGACATCTAGGGAGAACAAAATACGAGATGACTATACAATGATCAGCATGAATTTAAATTTACATTCACCAATAGAAGACAATTCTTTGAGAACAAATACAATGAACTGAATGTTCATCTCTCCATCCCCTAAATATTATCCCCCAACTTGAAAATACTAGGAAGTGAGGCCTTCCAGAGGAGACTGAGATTAGTGTCCTTATAAAGAGATCTCAGGAAGCTAGTTTGCCATTGCCATGGGGAGTTGCTAACCTGGCCCTCACTGAACAAGATCTGTTGATGCTTGACATTGGATATCTCAGGCTGAGAACTGTGAGAAATAAACTGTTCTTGTCTATAAGCCCTTCCAGGATGTGCATGTTTTTTTTTTTTTATAGCAGCCTGAACAGACAGCAAGTTTCTGTGTGTGTGTGTGTATCATTCAGCAACCTTGCACCAGAGTTTGTTATTTAACTGATAACATGATATATTTAGGTGTTTTCTTATTATATTACCTTCTTTTTAAAAATCAGGAAAATAGTTATGATTATTTATTAGAGCATTAGGATTTTTTTTTTAGTAATGGGAGTGGAACCCAGGATCTTTGCTGTAGCTACATTCCAAGTGCCATTTAAAAAAATACTTTATTTTGAGGCAGGCTCTCACTAAATTGTTAGTTTGCCCTAACAATTGTTGTGTCTGCCTCCATCGTGCTGGAATTATAGGTATGTACCACCTGGCTTAGAGGATAAGACAGGGGGTTTGTTTTATTCAATGCTATAGTAGTCTTAAATACATAATTTTTGAATAAATAAATGTATTTTAAACTGTAGAGTATATAGCTTGAAGGATATATTTGTGTCAATTAAAATTTGAGATTTGGAATTTTAAAAAATTGAATTAAGTTTCAACCTCCAACTGGGGATTTTCTTCTGTAGTTTTTTTCTCTTTTAATTAAATAAGAGGAGAGAAATCTAGGCCTTATATAATATAATAAGCAAGTTTAGCTGTATCAAAAAATATATCAAGAGGATAGAAGTGTAGTTAAGTGGTAAGAGCATGTGCTGAGTGTGTGTAAGGACCTGGGTTCAACCCCACCCCTCCAACAACAAACAGAAAAAACAAAAAGAAAAAAATCCATTGAAAGGATAATATTGTATTTGGATTCGAAAAGACTCAAAGCCAAAAGAATGTTCCCGGTTGTTAAATGGATCTCAGTTAAGATAGACCAGTCAGGTTAGCCTGCTGCTCTCCTCTCCAGGCTGGGAGTCAACAGTCCCGGAAACAGATCTGGCGCTCTTCTGCACCTGCGTCCTGTAGGCAGAGGTAGGAAGACAGACGTGTGCGGGAATGAGCTGGCGGGCAACAGTATAAAATAGCAAAAAGGTCAAAGCTCTGGTGCCCTGAGTGTTCTGAGCTTGGCACTGGACCTTCCCAACTGGATGATGCCCAAGACTATACCTGAGTCTCCCGGCCTACGGGGGCAAATATGTAACCTTGGTTTAAGATGCATCATTAATGTCAATTCTGATTTAAGCCACATCAGCTCCAGGGAAATCATGACTCTCTGGTCTTCTATTCTGGGGTCAGGGGAAGCAATTAGGCACTGGTTTATTGGTGCTATTTTGGTAATTTCATTTCATCCACTCACCGAGTAAATTGTCCCTCTTTTCTCTCCCTTTCTTCCTTTTTTAAGTGTGTGATTTTAATGAGGGCTTAATTCCGTTTGATCAGGCAGGTGGGCTAGGGAAACCACAACAGGGTGTAACTTTTTTAAACTCAGCCCACAGAAGTCATCTGAATAAAACCAACTTTAGCTTTGGCAAAGGGTAGGCGGTAAATAAGGTGAAGGCGTGGGCTTTTCTTAAATTGTTAGGAGATCTTTGGTTTGCCTTACCAATGGAGCCCTGGGCTGGGAGAACGATATGGTAACATTTCTGAGTTCTTAGTTTCTGAAAAAAGGTCTCAGAGACATAAGAATAATTCTAACTAAGAACTGACAATTGCTTTATGTGGATATATATATTTGCTGATTTTTATGCATGTATATAAAATGTATATTGTTCCTTATTTTAAAAATATCTTTCGTGATCCCTCCATATTAAATACAATCAGTTCCTAGTTTTTGTCTTTTGTGTTTTTTTTTTAATTAAAATTTTTTTAAGTACCAGGGAATTGGCCTTTGTGTACTAGGCAAGTTCTAACACTGAGCTACATCCTCAGCCTTTTTTATTTTATATTGTCAGTTTTGAGACAGGATCTCACTAAATTGCCCAGGCTGAGCTCAAACTTGTGATTGTCCTGCCTCAGCCTTGCAGTACTTGGGATTACAGACATGTGCTACCACATCTGATTTTGTGGGTTTATTTTTAATTACAAAATTAGTATAGGTTCTTGATAAAAGTTTCAAACAATATAGAAATATATAACATAATATTTTAAATATTTTTTCATTAAATTCTACTTCTCAGAAATAGTCATTGAAAACTATGTGTCCTTTCAGACAAATATCTGTGTATATAAAAACATTTCAAACAAAATCTTTTTGCACCATTTCTTTTTGTAATTTTTATTTTGAATTAATTATATATCCCTAAGAAAGTAGCAAAAATAATAGAAAATTCCTATGTATACCTTTCACTCAAATTCTCCACTGTTAACATTTTACCACATTTACTTTATGATCGTCTCCATTTCTGTACATGTGCATTTTATTATTATCTTTTTTTTCCAGTATTGGGAATTGAATCCAGAGCTTTCACATGCAAGGTAATTGTTCTACCATTGAGCTACACCTCTGGCCTCAATATTATTGTTTTTACTATTTGAAAGTAGGTTGCCTACATGATGTCTCCTATTTTCTAAATATTTCAGTGTGTAAATGGATGTTCTCCCATTTCCTAAGAAGGATATTCTCTCTTATAACCATAGTACAATATCATAACCAGGAAATTAACACTGATAAAACACTATTATCTACCCAATAGATTTTCTTCTATTTTTCCAATTGTCCCAACAGTATCACTCTTTGATTATAACATCATTTATTGAAAGGAATGTGTCAATAGACATATGCCTTGACTTTTTTCCCCACAACTATTCAAAATAATGAACTGGTTGACCAACGACTTCTACCTCTTGATTATCTCTGTATTTGTCCTCACCTCTTACCCTCTTTCTTAAATACAGGTATGGATGTAGACAAACACACACCTTATTCAACATTTCCTGGATAGGCCTTTGTTATAGCATATGTCTAGATGTCTCCCCAAAGCCATATGCACACAAAGGCGGGGCTTTTGGGAGGTGGCTAGATCACGGATGTGTGAAACTGGATTAGTCCACTGATTTGTTTTCGTAGTTCTGGGTGTGATAACGGAAGGCTCACCCTGGGTGTGGGTGGCACCAACCAATAGGACTGTAGCCTGAATGGGATAAAAAGAGAAAGGAAGGATTGCTGTGGGCTGCTTCCTGCCTATCCTGTCATGGACTGCTTCTCCCCTGCATTCCCCTTGCCATGCCACACTGCCTTGGAGCCAGTCAACTAGGAACTGAACCCTCTACAAACTGAAACCTCTACAAACCCCTGCAAGCTATCCTTCCTTTAATATGTGAGTGTTGGGGGGCTGGGGATTTAGCTCAGTGGCACAGCACCTGCCTGGCAAGCGCGACATCGTGAGTTCGATTCCTGGTACCAGAAAAACAAAAACAAACAAACAAAAAAAACAAAATATGTGAGTGTTGGATATTTTGTCCTGGCAGTGAAAAATGAAGACAGCCTTGTTACATAGTTTTGTTCCTATCCTTTTTTCCAAATGCCCTTCACCTTATTTTTCTTTTTGACCGGCAAAACCTTCACCTTCAAAGCCTCCTGTTTAATAACTTTCCCAGCCCAAGCTCTCTCCTGGGCCATCAGTTATGCTTCCTTATGCTCTCAGCTTTCTGGATGAGGCTGCTTCATAGCATTTTCTATTGTACCATTGCTGTTTCAATTTCTGCCTGATAGTTATATTGTTTCATGCTTATGGAAATCAGGAACTCCTTAGCACTGACACAGGGCCTAGATGAGAAAGATTTGTCATAAATGCTGCTGAGTGGTTGATATGTCTTTTCTTCTCATGAGTATTTACTAGCAAAACAAAATACTGATTGTCTTCTTGTAAGTTATAAGATTTGATCTAGATATGTCATACTGAAGCAAGGAAATAAAAACATTATAGCATTAGAATCTACCTGACCTGAACACTACAAAATACTGATGAAAGAAAAGACACACACAAATGAAAAGGTAGTCTGTGTACATGGACTGCAAGATTTAATATATTTTTTAGAGGGCAGTGCTACCTAAAGCTATCTGCAGAGTCAGCAAAATCTCTAACAAAACTTTAACATTACTTTTTCTTGGAAATGGAAAAGATGGTTCTTAAGTTCATGTGCACTTGCAAAGGGCCCCAAATAGCCAAAACAATCATGAAAAATAGCAAAGTTGGGTGTATTGATACTTCCTGACTTCAAAACTCATGACAAAAATACACTAGTGATAATTGTATGATATTGGTGTAAGTACAGACATACAGACCAGGGGGATAGAACTGAAAGTCCATAAGTAAACCCATTCATGTATGGCTGATTTTTAAAATTTGACAAAATAGAATAACATAAAATTTACCGTTTAAAAAAGTGTATGCACAGTGGCATTGTGTACACTCACAGTGCTTTGCAGGGTCACTGCTACCCATCTGCAGAACTCTTCCATCTTGTACATCATGAAACCCTAAACCCAGCACCACTTATTAAGACAGCTAAGATAACTGTACTACTAATCTCTATTGGTTTATTGAAAGGAACAGTTAATGCTTAGTTGTTTGATCATCTTACATGCCTGTATCTGGGAATCTGAACACTACTTTACAGATAACAATATGCAATATAATAACCATTGTTAATGTCTTATTATCTTGTTTTGAAATTCTGTATTGTTTTTATTTTTTTAAAATTCTCTTTAAAATAACATTTTAAAAATGCTAAATCCATTTTTTTTTTTTTTTTTTTGGTATGGGGAATCGAACTCATGACCTCAAACTTGCCAGGCAAGTGCTTATGCCGCTGAGCTACATCCCCGGCCCCCAAAAATGCTAAATCCATAAGCAGTGATACAGCCAAAAGTTTTTTTTGTTGTTGCTTTTTTACAAAGATAAAAAAGCCATTTAATGAAATAAATGGTCCTAAGACAACTGGATTGTCACAGGCAAAAGAATGAGAGTGGACCCTTATCTCACATCCAATTACAAAAATTAACTCAAAGTGGACTAACAGTTTAACTATCAGAGCTAATTCCATAAAATGCTTAGGAGAAAGCATAAGGATAAATCTTCATGACTTGGATTTGGTAATGAGTTCTTAATATGACACAAAAAGCACAAGTAACAAAAAAGAAGAAACATAAATTGTATTTAATAAAAAATTAAGAACTGTTATTCATTAAAGAAGTGCTATCTGACAAGCAGTTGATATTTAAAATATAAGAAAAATTATAACAGAACAAAAAAAGACAAAAAAATTTAAATGAGCTTTTAAAAGATGGAATAAACACTTCTCCAAAGAAGATAAATGGCCAAGAAACACATGAAAAGATATCAACATCATTAATCATTAGGAAAATGAAAGCCCACACAATGAGATGCCACTTCATATCTGCTATGGTGGCCATTATTAAGGAATGGAAAATAACCAGTATGTTGCCAAGGATATGGAAGAATGGAAACCCTTGTAGATCACCTGTGAGAGTGTGAAATGGTACAGCTGCTATGAAAAATAGGTTAGTGGTTCCTTAAAAAGTTAGACACTAAATTACCAGTAGTAGCATTTCTAAGTATGGACTCAAAAGAATTGAAAAGGTTTACCCAGTAGCACTATTCAGAGTAGTCGAAAAGTGGAAACAATTCAAATGTCCGTCCACAGACAGATGGGTAAATGGAGCATGGTATACACCTATGATGGACTAGGAGTCATAAAGAGAATGAGGTGCTGACATGTTCTACAACCTGCGTGAACCATGAAAACAATATACTAAATGGAACAAGTGGACACGAACAGATGCTGTGTGATTCCATTCATACAAAATACCTAAAACAGGCAACAATGTAGAGGTAGTAAGATGACTGGGGCTCACCAGGAGCTGCAGGAGGGAAGAGTGGGAAATCAGTGTGCAATGGGTACGGAGCTCCTGTTAGGAGCAATGAAGAAAGAGAGTGCAGCTGCCCCTCAGTGTCCGAGGGGATTGCTTCCAAGATTCCTGTAGACACCAAAATATA